CTCTCTCTCTCTCTCTCTCTCTCTCTCTCTCTCTCTCTCTCTCTCTCTCGTCTGGAATCTGCCCATGTTGCCCAGCAGTCTTGAATTCTTGGGTTCAAATGATCCTACTAAGATCTACGAGTCTACCTACGTTATTGAACCTGGCTAGCGTCCAACCAATTCTGACAAAAGAACACTATAAGACTTGGTAAATAGCAACCACTCTGCCTGGGGACAAGGAAAGAAAATGTCCTTATGTATTCAGTACAAACGCAAATTTCCCCATGAGTACCTTTGACCTCTGATTGGCTGGATCTTTGGGTACAGAATCTGTGGACACCAAGGGCTGACTGACAACATCACTAGGCTGTGTATGAACAGGGGAGGTGGCACAGCCATATCTGATGAGAATGACAAAGTAAGGCCAGCACAGCTGCCTGACACAGATCCAGCAAACTGAGCCACACAATGGCCACCAAGACACCCATGGTTTTCATCCCCACTTCTGACATACTTGGGGGACTTTTAATATTTGTACAATTTGGGAATATTGGATTGATGGAAAATTTCTCATCAATTATTTATGCCTTTCCCCAGGAATGCTGCTTCCCCAGGAAAGTCCTGAGCATACCATCCCTCCTGATTTTAGGGAGACATCCTTATCTACCTTAAGGTCTTTCTTATGCCTTGGAGGTTGTGACACACATAAAGAAGACAGAGGTCTCTTTATGAGGCTATGAAATAGTCTTGAAACATCTGTCCCTGTACTTTCTCAGGAACAAGATAATCAAAACAAAGCAAACTTAAAAAGGTCAACAAGATTCAGTGGGCTGGAAGAGTTGGCCATAGGCCAGATTTCAAGCCTCTTCCCAATATACACTTAGACAATTAATTACGTGGCATATACAGCAACAAAGTTAGATTAGCTGAAGTTACCTCTGCCCTATGCAGAGACTTTAATTGTTGGGTAAGGAATGATATAGAGAGATGATAAATAAATGAGATGTCAGGAACTTAGTTTCTTAGAAAAGTTAGGACAGACAGAGCCACCATGGTGTTCTATGACAAAGGAACAACAGAATGCCAGAATTAGACATAAACCAATTTTATAAAGATGAAATGTAAACATTATGCCAGAATTTGAATAATAATTAACTGCTTGAGGATTTGTCTTGGGCACTCTGACCACGAAGAGCTAACTACACTGCTGGGGACACGGCCATCTGCCCAGGCTGGCTTGGAGACTTGGTTTGGGTCCTAGTGTCCTTGTAGTCACAAGAGTTGCCAGCCTAAGAACAGGCTGTCATATGCCTCTAGATTAATAAAAACTAGGTTATGCGATTAATGAATAAAAATGCTAACTATTTACGAATGATGTTAAGATTTGGGGGAAATGATAACTCTGTTCTGTCACAGTTTATTAATGATGACTAAAAGATGAGCAGGAGGAAGTGAAACACTGTCCAAAGCCAAAAATGCTATGATCTATGTTTTAGAGCAACATGGAATCTATCCCTGCTTACTAAATTCTGTATAAATAAAGAAGCACTCTGGCTGCCAGTCAGTCAGGCTGCAAGGTTCTCCCGAGCATCATGCCTGGCTCACTCCATTCCTCGCCGACTCCTTACATCCCTTCTGGACCTGTCAATCTAGGGCTGGCTCCTGGCAGGGAAGTATGTGAACATCAAGGGCTGACTGAAGGTATCACTAGGCTGTGCAGGGAAAGTGTGTGGTACCCTTTTCTAATTCCCGCCAGAGTACCTTCCATGTCAGATTGTCCTCTGTAGGTTAAGTCATAAAGAGCAGTATGAAGTGGCCTGGACTTGCAGTAACTGGGGCATCAGCTGCAGATGGAGGGAGCTGGTTGGTGCTGAGAATGAGCAAGGCATGGTGGTGACCAAGTGTGGCACAGTCTTCGAGGGGAGTCCCAAGCTACCTCAAAACAAGGTCTCCAAGTTAGCCCGGGCAGATTGCCACATCCCGAGCAGTGTACAGTTAACTCCTAATGGTCAGAGTGCCCAAGAAATAGCCTCAGGCTACCTGGCACCTGCATCCCTGGTGACAATGCTCCCTAAGATAGGCCATCCGACCTGCCACCGACCTGCCACTGATTCCTTGGACACCCAACAGCATAATGGCTGGATTTAGTTCCCTTCAGCTTCCCAACAAGAAGAGGAAGCACTGCTCTGAAAATGTAGGCACCCTGTGCTTCTTTGAAGTCATTTGTTGGTTGTTCATGGTGTTATGGTTTAAATACGAAATGTCTCCCATAGGCTCATGCATTGGGGGCTCGAACCTTATACTGAAGATGCTATGTGGAGAGGTTCTGGGAACTTTAGAAAGTGGGGTCTAGTTGGAAGGAGGAGGTCACTGGAATGTGCTCTGGGGGTGATGCCATGCTCTGGCCCCTTCCTTGCTGTTTTCTGA